AAAAAAAAAAAACCCAAATCACGTCTTTTTAGAATTTTTTTCTTTTTTCTTTTTTTTTATGTAGTTGCATCTGGTACCAGGGTTTCTTCTATTTAATCTCCATCCTTATTTTTTTGTTTTGTTTTTGTGTGTTTGAGACAGGGTCTCCCTGTGTAGTTCAGGCTAACCTTGAACTCACTATGTAGCCCAGGCTGGCCTCAAATTTGTGGCAATCCTCCTGCCTCAGCCTCCCAAGTGCTGGGATGACAGAAGTGCACCACCACCAGGGCCAATTTAATCCCCATTCTACAGACAGGGAAACTGAGGCTCCCAGAGACAGTGGAAGTGGCTGGGTGGGGTACTCAGGTCCCCTCCTGTGTAGCCCTGACCTGGAGAGGGCGGGGCCCAGCATTGCTCCTGAGTGCTGCTGGGGGGGAGACAAACCCTGCAGATCATCCAGGTCCACTCACCCTGAAAGCTGGGGAAATAGGTGGCCAGGTGGGAGGCAACGATCTTTTCCTCCAGGATGTCGGTTTTGTTGAGGAACAGGATGACCGAGGTGCTTTTGAACCAGGGCAGCTCCAGGATGGTCCCAAACAGGGCCAGGCTCTCTTTCATACGGTTCTAGGGGGAGGGGAGACAGGCAGGGCAGTGACCCTATTTGGAAATCCAGTCTTTGAAGTTGGAAGGCATTAAGTGGTAGCCCTGCTAATCCCAAGACATTATGAAAACAGGAAGGTTTGAGGTAAGTGTGGTGGTGCACACTGGGAGGCTGAGGCAGGAGGATTCCCAATTTTCAGCCTAGCCTGGGTGACTTAGTGATTCTAGCAGACCCTGTCTCAAAATAAAAATTAAAAAGGGCTGGGGATGGAGCTCAGGATCAAGCTTTAGTAATGCAAAAATAAAAATAAATAAGGAGGAAGATTAAGACACAGACCACATGTGGAAGGCACCAGGTAGAGATGGGGCCAGTGATCAGGGTGACATTTCTACAAGCCAAGGACACTGAGGTCCCCAGCAGTGCCAGAGCTGAGGACGGGCCTGGCACAGATTCTCACAGCCTCCCATGCAGACTTTCTCCTGTCCCCCAGGACTGAGCAGGGATACATCAGCATCTGTTGGTGAAGACGCATACCACGTTGCCACTTTAAGCTACTGGCCCCAGGACCCTAGCACGTCCTTCGTGGCCAGGTCTGTGCATGCTTTGCAGGAATCCCCTCAAAATTACCCTATGTGGATAGAAGAGGTCACTTCCCTGATGGACAGTCTGAGCTTCCTGCCCCTTGAGGGTCCTCAGGGAGTGGGGTGAGGGGTCGCAGCAGCCCTCACCTCCTGGTTGTTCTCTTCCAGACACTGGTCATACTCGCTAAGCGATGCCAGGTAGATGAGGGCGATGACATTCTCAAAGCAGTGAATCCATTTCTTGCGCTCTGATTTCTGGCCACCCACATCCACGATCCTATGGGAAACCAGGACACCTCGTTCATTTTTGCTTTTCTTTCTTTTTTGTACCAGGAATTGAACTCAGGGCCTCATGCTTGCCAGGGAGTCAGGCCCTTGTCAGGCCTGGGCTGTGCTGAGATCAAAACAGGAAGCGTACGCGATTACCACTTCGTCTCAGGACTCAGTTTCTCCACAGGCAAAATGGGGCCTCCAAGCCTGGCTGGCCACCGGGGCATGCAGCATCGGTCAGTGGGCAGTGGGTGGGCACGATGGGGCAGAGGGCTGTCCCGGACGCGGTGCGGCCTGTCGGTGGGCCCCACACGCCCGACAAAGCGCAGTCCCCTTCCTGTTCTTTCTTCTCAGAAACTGGGCCACTGATAAGATCTCGGCAGCATTTCCCCGGGGCGCAGCCGCGACTCAGGAAGTGCCCGGGACGAGGACGGGAGGGGAAACCGAGGCCCACGACTCAGCATTTGTGACGCCTGCGTCACCGAGGCCGGGCCACACTCCGTCCCCTAGACTTTCTCCCCCGCCCAAGTGCACTCCGAAGGCTCCCCCGGGAACGCCCGCCTCAGCTCGGCCTTCCCGCGGCCTCAGGATTCTCACTGCCAGGCCCGCCGCCCTCCGCGGGGCCCACGCCTCCCACTCCATCTTCCGCCCGTGGCCCCAGCACCTCCACCACCCTCAGGCTCCTCGGCCTCACTCTGGTCTCACCCGGCACCACCCACCCCACCAGCTGTGGCACAAAGCTCACGGGTCCATTTTCCCTGCTCCGACCCCGCAGTGGCCTAGTCCTGGCCCTTCTGTACCACCCCTCACTTCCTTCCCGCAGCCGCTGTGTTGCCCTTACCAGCCCTCCTGCCTCTCCAGAGTCTCCTGGCCTCCACCCCACTCCCTCTAGTCCGCCCCGACAGTGACCACTATAGAGATCATGCTCTGAGGCCCCAGCCCTGGTCATCCCTCTGCTCTGGCCCCGACCACACAGTCTCTGTCTCCTCCTGCCCAGTAGCCTCCTCAGGGCTGGGACTAGTGAACTCCTATTCCCTTCTATTCCTTCACCATCCTAATACCAATGTCTTGCCTCCAGGAAACGCTCTTCTCCTGGAATACCAGTGCCTCCCTCGGGGCTCCTCCAGGCCCCAGTCCTGACTATACAAGGGGATGAAGATGTCTTTGTGTCTGCTTGGCCTCCTTCGGCCTGGCAGGCCCTTGAAACCTGAGGCCTACAAACTCCTACTCATCCGTCAGAGTCCCAGCTCTTTTGCCTCCCTACATAAGCCAAACCCCAGAATAGACCCAGGCTGAGTGCTCACCGCAGGTTGGTTTTCTGCACGGAGAAGCAGTACTCATTGATGCCGGTGGTGGGCATTCGGCTCCGCAGTACATCCTGGGCCGTGGGGATGTAGCATTCCTCAGTGATGCGCTCCAGATGGGACAAATAGCTGCGGGACAGGGCCCACTAAGGCCGGGACTTGCAGCCAGCCTGCCTCTACTGCTCACACCCTGCAGGGCCCAGCAAGGACTGGGAGGGGGGCTCGGGGAGGTACAGGCCGAGCCCAGAACCACCCCCAGGGAGAGAGAGGCAGCCCCACCTCAGGGATGTGTTGCCCCAAGGATAATGGTACCCTGAAGACGCTTTCCCCAGCCACTAAGTCACCTCGGACGTCGCCCGGGGAGCTCGGCCCCCAAGACAGATATCGCCCTGGCACAGGACCTGCCCTCAGTGGTCTCCACCCAGCTCACGCAGAGCCAGGGCATCCAGAATGCGGGTGGGGCGGGGCTACGGCTGCGCAGCCTCTGGCCACGCCCAGTGCCCGCCTGCCCTGGGCCCACCCACTAGGCCAGGTCCTTCCCACGACCCTGGCCCTACCCATTTTTACCAGCTCCTCCCACACGCGCTACGCTCCTGGCTCCTCCCACCCGCTGCCCCTCCCATCATACCTGGCTCCTCCCATGCCCCCTGACTCCTCCCACACACAGACCCCAGACTCACTAAATGGCGGAGTCCAGCAGGTGGAATTCGCGCCGGCGCTCGTAACAGGCCCGGATGCCCGCGTCCTGCCACAAACTCTGCATGGCCACAGCATAGCGCTTCTGGAACGTGGTCACCTTATAAGGGTCCTGGCTCATGACCAGGCTGGCGTGGTGCTGGGGACGGAAGCATGGGGAAGGTTAGGCACCCTACAGGGAGGCACCCCCACACCTCTCTGCAAGCCTGTGCCCAGAACACTCTCCCTCTGTCTTCCTTTCCTTCCGGGAACCTCGTTTGGCTGCTCCTGCACCCTTATTGCATGCACTGACCCACAGAGGGAAGCCCTTGAGAATTGGGACTAGTGAACTCCTATTCATCCTTCAACACCCCACACCAATCCCCCTCCTCCAGGAAGACCTCCTCTCCTGGAGCCTGGGTCTCATAAAGGGAGCCACAATGAGCTGCCATGCTTGGACAAGCCAGGGCTGAATGGCGACAGCAGGATTGAAATAGGTGCTGAGCACCCAGTTCCTGGTCGTCCCTCGTGTGGGGCATCTCCGAGGCGTCACAGGGTGGTCCCCATTTTGAGGGACAGAGCAAAGAAGCTATTTGCGTGGGTCCTGCGGTCAGCTGTCCTGTTGCCCTGCTCCAGCATAGACTCCAGGCTTCACCACAGACACGGCGAGCTGTGCCCATACCGGGCGCCTGGCGCCACCCGGTGTGACAGAGGGTTGTGGTCAGGTCACACAGCAGAGGCCGGGCTGGAACTTGGGCCTGAAGTCCAGCTCCTGGACCATGACATTTTTAAAATCTTGGTGGCACCGGGGACAGAACCGGGGCTTGCCACTGAGTTGCACCCCCAGACCTTTCTGTGTTTTAGTTTGAGGCAGGGCCTCGCCGAGTCACCAAGTGGCCCAGGCTGGGCTGGAACTTGAGAACGTCCTGCCTCAGCCTCCCGAGTGCTGGGATGACAGGCCTGAGTTCCCTTTGGCAATTTCAAGGCCTCTCATATTCCCCTCAGCCGCCCCATCCCCTCCTCCTCTGAGGTCCTTGCAGCAGAGTGAAATAAAAGTCAGGTTTCGGTGGCGTCCTAGACGCGATGCCCAGCACCTCCCTCCCTGCCGGCCAGGGACGCGGCCGGCCGGGCAGCTCGAGGCCGGCTCACCTTGCTGTCGGACCTGCCGAAGGGGATCTGCAGCCGCTCCATGGCCTCGATCATGGCCTGCATGGAGGCGAAGATGTTCTGATAGACGAGCGGCCGGAAGCCCTTGCGGTCCTCCTCCGAGTAGCCGGCCCCGTGGATGATGCGCATCTGCTTAATGAACGTGCTCTTGCCGCTCTCGCCCGGCCCTGGGGACCCCCGCATCGCTCAGCTCTCGGGGGTGCGGCCCGGGCGCCTCTTCCCTTGGCCCCCCACACCCGGCTCCCAATCCCATCCCGGCCAGGCCACTTCTGGGACCTTGGGCCATTGACGCTGCTTCTCTGAGCCTCAGTTTCCCCACCTGTGCCGGGGAGCAGTAACAGGCCCTGCCCGGGAATTGCGTTGTGTGAATTAAATCAATCGTCTTCACCACGCCCTTTGGGCAGAGTCCACAGGCCCGGCAGGCCCCTCCTTGAACCCTGCCACTCCTATTTATTACGGCAGACACCGTTTCACATCTCCTGTGATTTGTACAGTTCTAATACTCTTCACGGTTATGGTTCTAACCACAATAACAAGAGACTGCAAAAAAAAAAGCCACGGGCAGGGGGGCATCTCTATAATCCCAGCTTTGCAGGAGGCTGAGGCAGGAGAATCACAAGTTGGAGCCCAGCCTGGGCAACTTCATGACTCAGTGAGCCCCTGCCTCAAAATAAAAACTAAAACAGACTGGGGGTGGAACTCAGTGCCAAGGCCCTGGGTTCATCCCCAGTGCTGTGTGAAAAGGGGGCCCCTCAGGCTCACACCCCAAAGTCGCCACTGCAGCTTCAGATTCCAGAACCTACTGTGCTCCAGGACAAGTTCCCATCCGTCACTAAGGCTCCTGCAGGGACACTCGGCTGTGGGAGTTGGAGAAGAAGGCGTACGTCCCTCACAGGGAGACCTGGGGCTCTTGCTGGGCTTGGGCAAGGTGGAGGTGGCACTGAGCCTGATGGGGCTCAGGATTTACTTATTTCATTGATTTGTTTTTGTTTTTGTTTTTGGTGCGGGGGACTGAACTCGGGACTTTGCACTTGCAAGGCAGGCTGAGGCACCACTGAACTGAATCATGAGCCCTATTTATTTCATTTTCTGAGACCAGCTCTCGCTGTACAGCCCAGGCTGGCCTCGAACTCACTGAGATCCTCCTGCCTCAGCTGACCGAATGCTGTAAATACAGGTGTGCACCACAACACCCAGCTTATTTATTATTATTATTATTGTTATTATTATTATTAATTTTATAATTGATTTTCTGAGAGTCCAAGGGGCTCCATCTCGCCCTGCCTGGAAGTGAGAGGGACAGGACTCCTGCTTCCTGGCTGTTTGTCAAATGGGGAAACTGAGTCTCGGACTGGCAAAGGGAATCACCCAGAGTCATGAAGCTGGTTAGGGGGACTGAACCCGGTCCTGTCTGAGTCCCCAGCATCTGTGCTTCGATTTTTTTGAATAATTAATTCATGTGTGATGCACAGGTAATATGTCCAGGTGTTTACGGTGACAGCGTGAACGTCATGGAATGACAGCTGACTGTCCACCTTCAAAACTCGTTGTGAGCCGGGCGTGGTGGCACACACTTGTAATCCCAGCACTTGGGAGGCTGAGGCAGGAGGATCGCTTTGAGTTCGAGACCAGCCTGGGCTACATAGTGAGTTCCAGGTCAGTCTCGACTACATAGTGAGACCCTGTCTCAAAAAACCAAAACCAAAACCAAAACCAAAAACCCATTGTGTCTTCAGGATGATAATAAAATCCTCTCTTGCAGCATTTTCTCCTGCATGATACTGGAGACCAAGACTGGATGCTCTACCTTGGAGCTGCATCCCCAGGGTCTCAACAAGTTGCCTTGGCTGGACTTGAACCCAGGACACCTCCCCGCCAGCCTCCCAGAGTGCTGGGATAACAGGCATGCACCATTGTGCCCACCCCCTCCAGCAATTTTGATCTATCCAACATTGCTAACTATAATCCCCCTTCTAGGATGACACTTGGAAGTTCCCCTTACCCTGCCCAGATCAGCACAATAAAAATACTAATCACAGTGAAAAGGATTCAACTGCAAACCAAGAGACTGAGTAGATCTTTTTGCTATTTTGCCATTTGTAAAGATGACCCAGGGATCAGAAACATTAGTGACCGGCCTAGGGTCACACAGCGCGGGGAGGATGGGAGAATAATCCGGGTCCCTACATGGTCCTCACCGCTGGGGCAGCGTTAGACAACAGGTGTGTGTCAGTGAGTGCGACGTCTCTGTGGACACTGGGACATGACATAGCCGCCCTGGTCTCCTCTAAAAGAGCAAGGAAGAAGCAGAAGTCTGACGTCACCACTGTTTACTTTCTTGTTATTGGTTCCCTGCTCTGATTTCTTTTTTTAAATCTCTTCTGTTTCATTAAAGACAAAGACAAAGCTGGGTGTGGTGACGCACGCCTGTCATCCCAGCACTGAGGGAGGCTGAGGCAGGAGGATCGCTGTGAGTTCAAGGCCAGCCTGAACTTCGTAACAAATACCTGTCCCCAAAAAACAAAATCACCACCAGAATTCTGTCTTTGAAGCCCATCACTGTCCTAAAGCTGTAAAGTTTTGAGGCTTCCCCAGCTTGGAGCAGAAGTGGGAGTCATGGTCTGCTTCAGGAAACCCCAGGAGAGGCGGGCTGGGGGGCTGCGGGAAGAGCCATTCCCACCTGGCGGCTGAGCAGGCCGGACCGGAAGTGGCTGCTTCCTCCTGGAGACGGAGGAGGAAGTGGAACCCGGCAATGCCAGGAAGGAGCGGCCGCGCATGCCCAGCCCTGGCCGTCCCAGGACCCAGCCCCTTGCCCACCCCAGGCCCCAAGACCCCAGATGGCTGGGAACGCAGAAGGCCAGGCCTGGGGCAACTGGAGTGGGGCAGAGCAGGAGGCTTCGCTTCTGTGCCCACCTCTGATTCAAACTCTGCAAACCCCAGACAAATGCTGGCATCTCCCCGGGCCTCAGTTTCCCCATCTGTGGGTGGATGACTGTGGCTTTTCTCTCCCAGACGCACAGGAACGGGGTCAGCTTTGGAACCAGCATCAGTGCTGGGTGACCTCGGAGAAGTCACTGCGCCTCTCTGGCCCGAGTCCACCCTGCGTGCTAAGGAAGGGACCGGGTTCTTCTGCCATTTCTTCCTGACCACCCCCCCAACATGGTGATGACTTCATGCTCAGGACAAATGTTCCCCACGCTGCCCCTCCCCAGCCCAGCTGCCCCTGGGACAGCTTCCTCAAAAAAGTTCAGCCACCTCCAGGGAGAGAAAATTAACGACTGGCTTAGATTCCTGTTTCTGTGCAGGGAGGCAGGTGGAAAGGCAGCCCCAGGGCGAGGACGGCCGCCATCAGCACCAGGGCCTGCCGCTGCGCCCTGACAGAGGGGTCTCCTGGCTTGGGGTAGGACAGCCTGGCTCCCAGAGTGGGAGGAGATGTGAAGAAATGTCAAGGAGCTCTCCCCTGAGTTACAGCCCCCAGCCCTTTTTATTTATGTTTTTGCTTGTTTGTTTGTTTGTTTGTTTTGAGACAGGGTCTCACTATGTAGTTGAGACTGACCTGGGACTCACTGTGGACCCCAGGCTGGTCTCGAACTCACAGTGATCCTCCCGCCTCAGCCTCCCAAGTGCTGGGTTGACAGGTGTGCGCCACCACGCCGGGCCAGCCCTTTTTAATTTAATTTAATTATTTCTTTTTGGTAATGGGGATTGAACTCGGGCCCTTGTGCTTGCAAGGAGGCAGGTGGCAGAACCACTGAGATAAATCCCTGGCTCTTATTTTTTATTTTGACACAGGTTCTCACTAAGTCCCTAGGTTGCCCAGGCTGGGCTTGAATCTGCGATCCTCCTGCCTCAGCCTCCCTGAGGCCTGGGGTGACCGGTGTACCGGGCCACCACTCCTAGCCGTGAGCACCTGCTATGGAGCAGACTCAGGGTACAGCTGTGGCCTGCGAACAGGCATGAGCGAGACAGACAGGGTCCCTGGGGCAGGGTTAGGGTTAGCAAATGAACAGGTGGATGCCACTGTGGACGGCAGGCAGAGGGAGGAGGGGACCCGCTGTCTGGGCGGGGGTAACAAGAGAAAACTTCCCTGGGGAGGTGGCTCTGCGGCTGCAACCCGTGTGGTGAAAGGGCCACCGTGTGATGGCTGTCGGGGGCAGCAGAGAGTGGTGGGCAGGGCGGGGCCGCGCAGTTTGAGGACACATCTCAAACTGATAGACCCCTCTCTGCTAGGTCAGCACAGAAGGGGACCAAGTGTGGAGCTAGGCACAGAGGCGCACACCTGTCATCCCAGCTCTTCAGGAGGCTGAGGCAGGAGGATCGAAAAGAAATTTCCACCCCAGCCTGGGCAACTTGGAGACTTAGCGAGACCTGTCTCAAAAAAAAAAAAAAAAGAGTTGGGGATGTGGTTCAGGGCAAAGACCTGGGTTCAATCCTTAGTACAAAAGAAAAAAAAACAGTTTCTTCAATATCGATAGCTAAATGAATAGTCATCTCTTCCTGACTTTAGTAGACACGATCGCTACATATTTCTTACGTAGGCATAATATATGACATATTCTAGGCATTTATTATTTTACATGAACAGGGGGATCCAGGCCAATTTTTTGTAGTACTGGGGATGGACCCCAAGAGACTCCCCAGGTTTTTTCCCTGACTCTCTGCCTCCAGAAATTATCTTATCTGTTTATTCCCTTGTCCTGTCTCTTTCACTGGAAGTGAGCCACAGGACATAGAAATTTTTCATTTTTAGCCGGGCCTGGTGACGCACGCCTATGATCCCACCATTTGGGAGGACAGGAAGAATCATAATGAGTTCAAGGCCGGCCTGGGCTACACGGTGAGACTCCCTCAAAAAACAAAGCAAGGGGCTGGGGGATGTAGCTCAGTGGTGCCCAAGCCTGCCTCCCGAGTACCAATAAAACAAAACAAAAAACAAATTCCATTGCTATGTACCCAGGAGTTGCCCAATAAATTTTAGTTGTTTTTTTGTTTTGTTTTGTTCTGTTTTTTGGTACCAGGTATTGAATTCGGCCTTGCGCTTGTGAGGCAGTACTCAGTAAATTTTAAAGGAACGAAGAAAGGACCCAATCCCCCAGAACAAACCCCAGACAAGCCCGCCCTGGCCATCAGGGGACACAGATGCCAGGGAGAGCAGGGCGCCCTCCCCTCTGGAAACAGAGGAAGAGGCTGGACCGGCCCCGCCCTGAGGCTGGCCAGCCGGCTGGGCAGGTTGTGCACTGAGCAAGCACACATCATTCCCTTTCCATGACACAGGCAAGGGACGTGCTGGGCCTGCCCGGAAGCTGGCCCCAGAGCCCCCACCGGGCCACATGTCTGAGCCACCTCTGATCTTCCCTGTGTCCTGACCAGGGGACCCGGGAGGCCACTGCTCACACCTCCCGCGAGGAAGTTGGCTTTCCTGTGCCTCGGTGTTCTCACCTGGAAAATGGGTCTCTCAGATCTTCCCCACCCCGGGTGCTGTGTGCTTTGTCCCCCCAGCCTCGGCCCTCGGCCCCTGCCAGATGGGTCCCGTGCTTACCCAGCAGCAGCAGTTTCAGCTCCCCGCGGTCCTGCTTCTTCTGCTCCAGCAGAATTTTGTTGATCTCCTGGTCGATCCTGGCCGCTGTCTTCTCCTCCTCCGTCAGGCACCAGGGACAGCAGGACCAGGCCAGCGAGCGGGCCATGGCAGGGGCGCCTCAGAGGGCACCAGGGGGCAT